GGCAATGTGGTCAGTTTTTATCACAAAGGGGTGACCCCACAAATATGATTTGAACTGATTTACACCATAAAAGACAGCAAGGATCTCTCTGTCAGTGCTTGGGTAATTCATCTCAGCAGCGTTCAAAGTTCTTGAAGCACACCCAATCAGTACTTCCTTCTTACCCAATTTTTGGGTAAGGATGGCACCAATTGCAAGTGCAGAAGCATCCGTTGTCAAGATAAATTCTTGAGAAAAGTCTGGGAAGGAAAGAATAGGAGCTGTCATGAGACAGTGCTGCAGATCCTCCATGGATTTCTGCTGGTCACTAGACCAATTGAAAACAACATCCTTTTTAAGGAGATTGTAGAGAGGTCTAGCCCTAATAGCAAAGTCTTTGATGTATGACCTGAAATATCCCACAAGCCCTAGAAAGGCTTGAATTCCCTTCACATCTCTGGGAATGGGAAAATTTCTAACAGCTTCAACCTTTAGAGGGTTGACCTTTATTCCTTCCTTGCTGATGAGAAAACCTAAATACTCAATTTGTGTCTGGAATAATTGACACTTGCTGAACTTGACTTTTAATCCTGCTTCATTCAGGCGCTGGAAGACATCTTCAAGATGTTTGAAGCATTCCTCAGCTGTTTTGGAATACACTACAATATCATCAATATATATATATATAGGCATAGATGCCCAAACACCCATACACCCATTCAAAACAAGGTGCATCAGTCTTTGAAAAACTGAGGGGCTGTTCTTAAGGCCCATATAGGTAACCTGATGAATTCATAATGTCCCATAGGGGTGGAAAATGCAGTCTTCCACCTCTCTTCTTCCCTAATCTTTAGGTTGTAAAACCCATGAAGCAGGTCTAAAGCAGTGAAGTACTTGGCAGACCCAAGTTCCTCAAAGATCTGACTGATCCTTGGAAGAGGATGAGGGTCTGTTATGACATGATCATTAAGTCTTCTAAAGTCAACTACCATTTGCCAGCCACCATCTGTCTTCTTCACCATTAAAGTGGGGCTATTGTAAGGAGACTTACTGGGGCAAATAATTCCCTGTCCAAGAAGATCTTGGACATACTCCTCTAACAAAGGCCTCATCCCAAATGGAATTGGGTATTGCCTAGTGTAGATTGGAGTCTTGATGTCTAGAGGAATATCTGCCTCATAGATCTCACAAAGGCCTAACTGATCTGCTTTTTTAGCAAGTACTTTTTTGTGCTTTAAAAGCAAGGCTCTGACTTTCTCAATGAAGTGGTCAGGGCACTCAGAAGCAAGTAGATTCTTGTCAATCAATTGAGTCATGGTAAGGTTTTCTTCTTCACCATGAATTTTCTCTCTTTCCACTTTCTTGGGTTTGGGGGTTTCCCTTTTGATGGNAAGGCATAATCATTTGGATTTTGAGATATCTCATCTTCCTGTTCTCCTGTAGTACGCCTGAAAGGCATGTAATTATTCATATGGACAGCTCAATCAAATCTGCTTGCCAAAGCATTTATCTCATAGCTGTTTGTTTCAGGAAGTATGTTCCTCAGTTCTTCAATTTGAGAGGCTATCTCCACTGCATGGTCAATGTTGCAAATTTTTATGAGAATCAAAGGATGAGTTTGGCTGGTGCCAAACTCATCCTCCCGCTAATCTTGTGGGAACCCAAGGCCACCAAAACTCTCAGCCTTCTCCTCAAGGAGAAATTCTTCTCTGACCTTCAAGGTCAATTATTTCATTCTGATTTCCTATCCATGATAGGTCATCTTTGACCAACCTTCTATGAAGTTTTCCTGTTGCCTAAATATCATTCAAAACCTCAGTCTTGTCATTGCTTTCATACTAGCAACATCAGGTGTTGTGTATTCAGCAGATACAGTGGTACCTCACACTACAAACGTAATCCGTTCCAGGGCTACGTTTGTAGTGTGAAACGTTCTTTATGCAAAACACGATTTCCCATAGACTTGTATGGGAAATCATTTAATTCGTTCCACAAAGCCAGAGAAAAAAAATTTTTCAAGAAAAAAAAACAGTTTGGACTGCTTTTTTTTTGGCCATTGTCACATGTGATGCAAGTCAAATGACTGTCCTCACAAGTGACAAATGCCAGGTGAATTTTTGTGGCATTAAAAAATTTGTCAACTGTGATGACAGTCATTTGACTG